TTTATTGAGCAAACTGATTTTTTACATAGAGGTTAGTAACATTTATATATACTTTGGAATTTTTTCTATTACTAATAAGATCACTAACTTATCCTACAAATTGCACTAATCAATGACTTCATAAATTATGCATTAACGAATTGACTACAAATTAACTATCATTGATGACTTCATAATTTATACGCTGGGCGACAGATTGGAATTAGTAGATCACAGGCACTGACCTGATCTTAGTTGCAGGGGTGATCGTAGTAGTAGGAATTTTAGTATAGTTGCAGGGGAATCGTAGTGGCGGGGAATCGTAGTATAATTCCAGGGGATCATGGTACCGATTTGCGGGTTTGTTACACCATCTCCTCTTCAAGGGGCATCACCAGCTTTTCTAGTTCTTTTGGTCTTCCCCTCGGTGTTGGGCCAGGTTTTTCGGGGTACTGATAGTGGAATCTAATCACAGCTTCACGGGCATTGCTCAAATTTTCCGTTGGTTCCTATGATCGTTCGCTTATGCCATAACCTTCCTAGTCGATTAGGTAGTGCAGTCTATTTCTAATTTTTCTTGAATCAAGTATCTCTCGAACTTCATACTCGTTTTCTCCTTCAATAATCACAGGTGGAGGAGGTTCCTTTGCTCTTCCTGGAATCTTGTTCTCTCTATATGACTCTAGTAATGAAACGTGAAAGGTGTTATGGATCTTCAGTTCGGGAGGCAGCTTTAATCGGTATGCCACTGGGTCGATCTGTTCGGAGATGACATAAGGGCCCAATTTGCGATAGTCCAGTTTTTTTGATAATCGTTTTGTGTGTATGTTTTGGCGTATTAATCATACTTTGTCACCAACTTTAAATATAGGAGAGTCCTTCCGGTAACGATCAGCATTCTGCTTGTAACGCTCTTGTGCCATTTTCAGCTCATTTGTGATCGTTTCTTTGATGCATCGTAGTTGCGCCGCTTTGTCTTCTACGGAGGGGACTATGGAATGGAATGGTGTTTGTAGGTCGAAATGTGGGTGAAAGCCGTAATTGGTGAAGAAAGGTGTGGCTTTAGTGGACGTATGGATTGAGTTATTGTATGCAAACTTGGCTAAGGGCAGTAGGTCAACCCAGTTATCTTGATGGTAATTTATCGTGCACCTTAAGTACTGTTCTAACACTTGATTGACTCTTTTGCTCTGACCGTCCAATTGGGGATGGTAGGCTGATGAAAGATTTATTTTGGTTCCTAGTAGACTGAACAAGCTCCTCCAGAACTTGGAAGCGAATTGAGGTCCTCTGTCAGATGTGATATCTTTTGGGATGCCATGAAGTCTGATTACTTCCCTGAATATTATTTGTGCGGTTTGTTCAGCGTTAATGCTTTTTTTACATGCTATAAAATGTGCCATTTTTGTCAACCGGTCTACCACAACCAGTATAGCGTCACAATCTGAAGACAGGGGTAGGTCTGTGATAAAATCCATTGATATGGATTGCCACTGCTGTGTAGGTATAGGTAGGGGTGTTAGTAACCCAAAGGGGCGATGTCTGGATGTTTTAGATCTTGCGCAAGTATCACAGGATTTGATATAGCTTTGTACAAAGGAGCGCAAGTTGGGCCACCAGTAATCCCATGTTACCAATTCTATCGTTTTGGCTACTCCAAAGTGCCTGGCAAATTTAGAGTCTTCTCTTGCTTGCAATACCTTTACCCTTTCCGGCATATTTGGAACGTATAATAGGCCCTCCCTGAACAAGAGCCCATCTTGATATTGGAATTTATGGTAATCAGAACGTTTTCCTGGCTTATTTTTTGGTAGACTTGTAAGTTGATCTATTACGTCTATAGCCAGGAGGTCTAGTTGCATTTGATTACGGATTTTGTTCCTCAAGTTGGTATCAATTGGCGTAATAAAGGTTGCATTTATGATGAGGTTTTCGGCTTTTAGTAGGGCAGTATTCTGTTGACCTGCGATTTCATCACCTTCATTGGGTTGGTACTCGGGCCTTCATGATAAGGCATCAGACTTCCCCTGTTCTCTACCAGACCGAAATACGATCACAAAATCATAGTTTGAAAGGAGCAGGGACCACCTGGCTTGTCGACGGTTGAGTGTTTTTGCAGTAGCAAAGTACTCTAAGTTCTTGTGGTCACAATGGACAGTAATTTTATGCTGTGCACCTTCCAAATAATGATGCCATTGCTTAAAAGCTGTTACTATAGCAAGTAGCTCCTTATCGTATACGTTATAATTTACTTCTGCTAATGTAAATTTTCGTGAATAATATGCAATAGGATGGAAGCTTTTTTTGCCGTGTTGTGAGAGTACTGCTCCAAGGGCATAGTCTGATGCATCTGTTTCCAAATAATAAGGTTTCGTCGGGTCGGCTTGGGTCAGAATTGGAGCTGACGTAAAGGCTTGTTTTAAGAAGTTGAAAGTTTTTTGTGCAGCATCAGACCAGTAAAAGGCGGTTGGCAGTTTTATTTTAGATTTTTGAGTCAGGTTTGTTAAGGGGGTGACCAAGTGAGCATATCCTTTGATAAAATGTCGGTAGTAGTTGGCGAAACCTAGAAATCTTTGTACCTCCTTAACCGAGGTTGGTACAGACCATGAGAGGAGACTCTCAACCTTAGTTGGGTCTATTTGGATCCCTTCTGGTGTAATACAATAGCCCAGGAAGTCTACGTTTTCTCTGTCAAATTCACATTTTTCTATTTTTGCATATAGGCCATGTTGACGTAGACGTTCCAGTACCAACCGTACATGTTGGGCATGTTCTTTTGGGTTGGAGGAGTATATTAAGACATCATCCAAATAGATGACTACAAACCGATCCAAGAAGTCCCGAAAGACATCATTCATTAGATGTTGGAACACAGCTGGGGCGTTTGTGAGCCCAAAAGGCATCACCAAGTACTTGAAATGACCATACCAAGTACGGAATGCTGTTTTTCATTCATCCCCTGGCCTAATACACACTAAATTGTAAGCTCCTCTCAGGTCGATTTTAGTGAAGACTCAAGCATCAGCGAGTCTGTTAAGTAGTTCAGGTATTAGGGGGAGTAGGTAACGATTCTTGACAGTGACTTGGTTTAGGCCTCGATAATCAACGCACATGCGTAAGGTTCCATCCTTTTTTTTGACAAAAAGGATGGGTGCGCCAGCTGGGGACTTGGAGTGATGGATAAATCCTTTTTCCAGGTTTTCTTCAATATACTCTCGCAAAACCTCAAGCTCTTTGGTGGTTAGTCCGTAGATAGGACCCCACGGTAGTTGCTTATCTGGCAGCAGGTCTATGGCGCAGTCATAGGGCCGAGATTCAGGTAATTTATTAGCTTCTTTTTTATTAAAAACGTCACTGTAGTCTTGATATTTTTCTGGAATTACGGGTATTTCGGTGGGGTGGAAACTGGATGCTAGAGCTGTGAAAACTTGAACTACATATGTTTGAGCTTGGTGAGGATTTGAGGTTGGTATATTTAGGCATTGGGCCTTGCAACTAGGATCAGAAAAGGTGATGAGGCGTTTGCGCCAGTTAATTGTAGGATTATGTAGGGCTAACCATGGTAAGCCTAGAATTATTTGGTAATGAGGGGATTGAATAAGGTTGAACGACAGTTTCTTGTGGTGGCTTTGAGCACTCAAGAGTAATGGACCCGTCTCATGTATAATGTTTCCAGAGGAAATTTCTCTGCCATCGATCACTTCGACTGTTAAGGGCGTTTCTTTTACTTAGAAAGGTATGTTATGTTGCTTGGCAAATGCTATATCTAAAAAACAAGCGGACGCCCCTGAATCAATCAAGGCTGCAAGTTTTACTTTGGATCCATCAGATAAATGTAAGCTTAGTCCGATAGTAAGAGTGTTTGTAGGGGACCTGGGTGATGGCCTTCTAGGAGTTGAATTGACGTCTTGTTCCAGCCGAAGCCCCTTACTGCGGCTGGGGCTGCTCTTTTCCCGAAAACTCATTGGGAACTACGATTGCACCAATTTTGGGTCGTGGGTTACTTTTGTTAGAGCAACCCTTAGCTATGTGGCCTTGCTCACCACAGTACAAGCAGAGTCTATTTGCACGTCGCCGATTTTTTTCTTCATCTAATAGTGGTTTGTACCTTAGGGTATCTATTTGCATGGGTTCAGTTAAGGGGTTCATATGGTTACTAGGGGCTTGGTTTAGACCTTTTCCCCAGATTGGGTCCCTTGAACGTTCCTGCCTTCGTTCGAATAGCCTGTTATTACATCGTACAGCCTTTGATATTGCATCATTTAATGATGTAGGGTCCTCTAGAGTAAGTAACAGGTCCTTGACATCGTTTTTTAAGCCAGTTCGGAACCTGTCAATCAAAGCAGCTTCACTCCAGTCCAAGTCACTTGCAATTTGTCTGAACTCTGATGCATAGCTCGATGCTGGCCTTGTCCCTTGGGTAAGTTTTCGTATCTTATTAGCGGCTGTTCTAGACTTATCTACATCGCCGAATGTTGCCTCGAACTCCTTTATTAAAGCTTCAAAGTCTTCTAGCAGTTCTGATCATTTTTCCAACAAAGGGGCAAACCAAGCTAGGGCTGATCCTGTGAGTAAGCTTCCCAGAAGCCCAACTTGTGTTCGATCATCATGGTAACGATTGGATTGCATTTGCATAATAAGACGAACTTGGTTCAAGAATCCTCTAAATTTATTCCGTGTGCCATCGAACTTGTCTGGAAGACTCACTTTTGGTTCCTTGTACTGGATATCCGATCCTCTTTGGGCTTGAAGTTGATTGAGTTCATTGCGAACATCCTCATTATCTTGACGTAAGGCCTGATTCTCAAGCTGGATTCGTTGTAATGTGATAAGTATCTCGTTAAGTTGTTCTTCCATATTGAGTTTTACTAATATTAAATGATGCTATAAGTGACTAAAAAATTATTATTTTTTTTTTTTTTTAATGATACTAATGAACGGAAATATTTAAGTAGGGTTCAAAGTTAAAAGTTAGTTTGCTCAAACTGTAACGGCGGAACTAGGATGGGCAAGAATTTTTAGGAGCAAATATTATTTTATTGAGCAAACTGATTTTTTACATAGAGGTTAGTAACATTTATATATACTTTGGAATTTTTTCTATTACTAATAAGATCACTAACTTATCCTACAAATTGCACTAATCAATGACTTCATAAATTATGCATTAACGAATTGACTACAAATTAACTATCATTGATGACTTCATAATTTATACGCCGGGCGACAGATTGGAATTGGTAGATCACAGGCACTGACCCAATCTTAGTTGCGGGGGGGATCGTAGTAGCGGGAATTGTAGTATAGTTGCAGGGGAATCGTAGTGGCGGGGAATCGTAGTATAATTCCAGGGGATCGTGGTACCGATTTGCGGGTTTGTTACAAATTAATACTTTAAAACTTATTCTTTCTAAATTTCTTACCATATTCTTTACAAAACTTAATTATAAAAAAATTCTTCAATCTCATTATACTATTCCACCATATACATTTCAAAATCGACTTCAAGTTGCTATTAATCTTGCTTGTTTACATCTTTTCCTTAACTCTACTTACAAAACTATTCATGCAAAAAAATTTGTAGAAGATCTAAATCTTCAACCACTTCATCTTACTTTACATTATAACATTAGCTATAATTTAATCAACAAAGCTCTTTTCCAAATACAAAATGATGAAAAGTTAAATGTTAATATTTCTTTTAACATTAATACTGAAAAATTTAAAAATTCTTTCCA